GGCTGCCTTGCCTTCTTCATCAATCAATTTCTCATATCATCAAACAACAAAACCCAAACAAAGAAAACGTAAATTTCTTTTTTTTTTTGGAACCCAAGGCTGGGTCTTAAGGAACCCAGCGCCTGGGTTTCATCGAACCCAGCGCCTGGGTTTCATCGAACCTAGGCATGTTGGGTTCGGTGGAACCCAGGCGCTGGGTTCGGTGGAACCCAGGCGCTGGGTTCGGTGGAACCCAGGCGCTGGGTTCGGTGGAACCCAGGCGCTGGGTTCGGTGGAACCCCGGTGCTGGGTTTAGTGGAACCTAGCATGCCTGGGTTTGAAGGAGAAAGAGAAGGGGAAGGGGAAGGGGAAAGGGAAAAGGAAAAAGAAGGAAAAAGAAAAAAAAAATTTTAATTTTATTTTTCATAATATTTTTTTATATTATTATTTTTTACATGTCATCATTTTTTTGGTCTTATTGTCTTCCATGTCATCCTTTTCCCGTCACGTAACAAGACACGTAAGCGGATATTTAACGAAAAGACCAAATTGGGGTTAAAATGGTAAACAGTATGGACCAAATCACGGATTTTTTTAGTTTAGGGACCAAATCAGAGGTCCATACGATAGTTTAGGGACCAAAATGGAGTTTTAACCTTTTTTTTTTTTTGACGAATGTATAGCATGATTACATTAAAAATACCGCTATGAGGGAAATGGTGGGGGCAGATTGCCACCATTAATTGTGCACCAAATGGATAGCAAGACGCACATTGGGAGGCGCAATATGGCACGCAACAAGCCTTTCTTTAGACTTTAATTCATTCTGTCTGTTTTATACGAATGAAGTGCTTTGGTTTTTTCACTTTTCCTTCTGTTAACTTTTGGAATCCGGACCCCATTTGCCTATCATCGATCCTTCCACTTCCACCCTCTTTTTCCCTCGCACAAGCAATCAATCTAAATTCTTAGCTAGCTACTCCCACTCTGCTCTAATCAGTTTCATATCTACACGGCCTTCAATATCAAGGGATGTGTGCCTTAATTCCCACATGTCTTCCCAATCTAAACTAGTGCTTGCTGGGCCAGGTCCTCCATTGACCAATTGAGTTAATTAGAGCCCATATTTGCAAAGTGAAAATTTTTTTTGACGGGATACAAAGTGAAATTTACGTGGTCAAAGTGAAAAGGAAAACGAGTACTACTTTAGTGCTTATTTGTACAGTCATCCTTAATCTTTTAAAAGTGAGTAACTTGGTTCTAGATCTTTTAAAGTTGGCAATATAGTTCTCTACGTTAATAGTTCAACTAAAGTACTAAGATATTAGAATGATTTATTTTTATCCTTCAAAATAAAGTAATAATATTTAGTTATTTACCCACATAATAGTACAATAAACTAATTAAAGACCTCCACACCTTCTTCTTCTTCATAATTAACACTAGTGCCTCCTTATTACCCGGCCGTCTCTTGGATTCCTCTCCCTATTACAATTTATACGCTCATCATCTCTTCCAAAAGCTCTTTCCTTCTTATAGAAAGAGGTGAATTAAACAACTGGAATGGCTCTTCTCACTTTCTCATCGGAAGCCAAGGAGGCCAAGACAACGCCGTCCTCCAAGCGGATGAAGAAGCAGCAGAAACAGAAGAAGCAGAATGAGCCCTCGTCTTGGGACCAGGTCAAGAACATACTCAGCTGCAACCAGATCGAAGGGTCCAAAGTTATCGACCCGTCAAAGAACACTCCGCAGCATCATGGCAACACCAAACTCGGTTCCTCCTGCAGTTCTATTTCCAGATTTAGGGACGTCGTTAATGGAAACACTAGGGTTGTTCATAGGGCCGATAACTCACCGGAGAGTAGCTCGTTGGGTCAAGAAACCAGGTTGCTGGCCCGGAAGGCGCTATCTGGGTCTTCTTCATCACGGTCTCTATCGGCAAGATCCAGCGGAGGTGGCAGCGGGGGAAGCGGTGGAAGCCATACCTCTTCCAGAGCCATGCAATTCCGGAAGCTTTCTGGTTGTTATGAATGTCACATGATCGTTGACCCAAGCAGGTAATTAATACTAATAGCACTTTGATTCTTTAATTATTTATGTACAATAAACAGAAATGAAGTTTTGATTAAAAAATCATCAGGTATCTAGTTCCAAGAACCACCATATGCGCCTGTTCTCTGTGTGGAGAGGTATTTTCAAAGATTGAAAGCTTGGAACTTCATCAAGCTGTTCGCCATGCTGGTAATTAAACCTTTGTTACTATTTCTGAGTACGTCATTATATTTACTGTTGATGAATGATCATTCCCTACCTATTACTTTTTTTATCTCAAAATAATTGTTATTTTTTTACTTTAAATTTGTTTCAAATTAATTATCATTTTTTAAAGTACAAAAAATAATTTTTTCCTAATTTAACTTTATTACTATCTATTTATTTTAATTAATTATCATATCATAAAGAATCTGACTCTATCTTTTTGTTTTTTTAAAGGATAATATAAGTAAATTCATGAATTATATACAAATCCATAAATTGAAAAAAAATAACAGTTATTTTGAGATGAAATGAGTATATAATTTATGGTTAAAGTTTTCCAAAAACTAATTTATTAATGAGTAAATTTAAGAATATATATTATCACATTGATCATATATATATTTAAAGAAATTAATTACTTTGAATATACTAACTTCAAAATTTAAATAATAATTCTAAGTTATCTAATAAATATTTATTTACTAATAAATCCAATGTTACCCTTATAGTTATAAGATATGTTACATATACATTCGACCCAGATTTACATAATATAGTTTAGGGTATATATTGTATACAAGACCACTACATAAAATTAAATTCCTAATCAAGTACTACTCATTACTTACTACACATTAGTGTTTGTTTGCGTGATTTCTTCTTCTTCTTCTTTTTGAGACTAATGATTTCTTCCTTCTTAGTGCTGCTAGTTTATGGTAAAGGTTGAGATTAGTTTCCGGAAATATTGGCTTAGGAGGAACCTACACCAAATTAGCCTCTCTCTTTTTGAGAAAGAATTAGCCTCTCTCTTTATCAAAGCAAAAGGGACCACTTAGTACACAGATTTACAGCTGGTCACTTTGACGACAAAATGAAGGCTGAAACTATGACGTGCCGTCATTTTACTTGCTATGCAGGGTCCTGTGACCCACCGACAACTTAGGAATTGCCATAAATTATTATTATTTTTTGAAATAATAATATTGTTTTGGGTGCAGTTTCGGAGCTGGGTCCGGAGGATTCGGGTCGAAACATTGTGGAGATTATCTTCAAATCAAGCTGGTTAAAAAAAGACAATCCCATTTGCAAAATCGAACGGATATTAAAAGTCCACAACTCTCAGTGCACGATCCAACTGTTCGAGGATTGTCGAGACGCAGTCAAGACTCGTGCTCTCAACAGCACCAAGAAACACCCCCGGTGCGCCGCTGATGGCAACGAGCTCCTCCGGTTCTACTGCACCACCCTCTCCTGCTCCCTTGGCTCCAAAGGCTCTTCCAGCCTTTGCGGCTCCATCCCTGGATGCGGTGTCTGCACCATCATTCGTCATGGATTTCAAGGCAAGGGCGGAGGAGCCTCCACACCCGCTGGTTTCAAGGGAGTCAGCACCACGGCCAGCAGTGGCAGGGCACACGATTCTCTGATGAAGCATACGGATGAACGAAGGGCCATGATAGTTTGCCGCGTGATCGCGGGAAGAGTGAAGCGAGTAGCGGACGATGCGCCAACGGAAGAGGAAAACGTTGTGTCAGCCGGACCGTACGATTCCGTAGCCGCGTACACCAACGCCGGGATGTACTCGAATCTGGAGGAGCTTATCGTTTTTAATCCAAGGGCCATCTTGCCTTGCTTCGTAGTCATTTACAAAGCACTCGAATCTTGATCAAATCTTAGAACGCTATATCAACGGTTGGACTAGCAGTAGTGTGTACATATTCTTGATTGTGCATTCTTTACCCAATTTTAATATAATAGTAGTAATTTAGTAGGAGAATGCTGTAATGCACCATCAACGAAGGGTTTGCTAAGGTGAAGTGCAAATGAACTCCACTTCATCTTTCTGATTTAGTATTGTACTCTTTCTTTCCTTTTCTTTTTTATTTTTTATTTTTTGGGTTACATGGTTAAGGTATCATTCCACTCCTCAATGCAAATTCATTCTCAAAGAATTAAGGGTGCACCCTACTCCAACATGCATCAGTTTTGTGAGGGATCAATCTGTGTAAGCTTCTACCAACAT